AGAAGGCACTAAAAGAAAACAATTTTCTTAACAATTTACATTGTCTTTAAGAGAATTATTAAATATAATGAAAAGGAAAGGTGAAAGTAAACAAACAGATCTGTTAACCTTCTTTTTTGTTTACATATTAAAACAATCCTCAACAGTTGTTTACCCAATTTAAATTAAACCATATAAATCACGTGAAAAAAAAAATATTTGGATCCATTTTATCATGAGCGCTCATCATATATGATATATGGACATTCAAACATATAACACAAAACACAAGTGTGCACACATAACATAATACATACAACACATAACATTATAGTAAAGGCCTTATAACTTTTTACAGGTGAAATCTCCATTGCAATGTTTAAAAACTCTATAGTCAAAAAATAGAACTGATCAGCAAAACATTAACCTAGGTCTGTATGAGCTCAAAAAACAAAATAGAACTTCATGATTTGGCAAAGGGCAATAATAAAATAGATATTGAAAAAAGCATCCTGGTTCTGTTGCAGATGTAAGAATAGCCAAACTGGAGTTTTGGATATCAGTTGTTATGGATTTGAGCCAAATCATCTTCTTTTTGGTCTGTAGAAATCGCTTTAGTTAATCTTTCTGGAATCCAAATCGGCTGCTGTTCTCCCTGTGGAAACACATAAACAGACCCCCGACTCCAGACAATCACTGGGTCAGGACTTTGGTTAATCTCTCTGGAATCCAAATCGGCTGCTGTTCTCCCTGTGGAAACACACAAACAGACCCCCGACTCCAGACAATTACTGGGTCAGGACCTTTCCATTGTCCTGTTAGAATATCCTTCCAAAGTACCTTGGGCTTATGTACATTTTTTGGACACATATGCCTTTCCGCAGCACTAAGTCCTGATGAATCCAAATTTAAAAAGTTTAGAGTAAAAAGGGTTATTTTAAGTTTATCTTTGGGGAATATATACCCCTTCCTGACCCAGCCAATCGGCCTCAAGAGCAGGAGGATTGTGGGAGGTGGAGAGAAGCTTGTGGGGGGAGAGACAGGCTTGTGGAAAGCCGGTGGTGGCAGTTGAGGCTCTGAGGGGTTTTTCCTGAGAGGCTGTTTTTTTGGTGTGTGGTTCTAAAAATAAAGTTAGTTTCTTTTGACAAGTGGCTCCTGATTGTGCCCAGCCAGACTGCGGCAACTTAGTACAGAGTTTTAACAGAATACTGTTGTGGTGAGCAAGAATTTGATTCTTTGTCTGCTTTCAAAACCCAATATAAAAAAAAGTTATAATTCCAGAGCTATAAAAAAAAAAAAAAATAGCACCCAACAGTGACTTCCCTGTAAGGGACACAAATGTTTTCTTCTTGGAGAATCCATAGTCTAATGAATTCCTAGTCTAGGAATACTTGTTTTAACAAAATAGTTATCTGACACAGTTTGGCTATATTCCGTTCCCTGAGTTCTTCATAATAACAAACATTTCTGTACCAGGAGACAATAAAGTTCTCTGTTTTGAATGAGATAGGTGCAAAATAAACCTCTTACCCCTCTTTTTATTTCCCCCTGTAAAAACTGGTATCTTTAGGCCCAGCGCAGTGGTACACACCTACAATCCCAGTGGCTCAGGAGGCAGGAGGATCATGGGTTTAAAGCCAGCCTCAGCAACAGGGAGGCACTAAGCAACTCAGTGAGACCCTGTCTCTAAATAAAATATAAAAATAAGGCTAGGGATATGGTTCAGTGGTTGAGTGCCCCTAGTTCAATCCCCAGTATAAAAAAAAGAAAAAAAGCTGATATCTTTAGACTTGGTTATCTCATTCATATTTAAATACCCAGAAGCCATTTTTATAACTGTTATAAAAATTTTGTACTTAGCCAGATATGTTACAGTGGTGATTGGTTTATAAGGTAATCATTTTTAACCTATCATAATTCTACCAGTAATTCAGGTAAGTATATTGTTATACTTTCACATTCATCCTGTGAGAGAAGAAATGAAGTCTGGTATTATCATCTACAACTTAAAAATCTGAAGTTCAGAAATTACTTAGACTTCTATTTCTCACTTGGGCTAATACAACTAGAAAAGCTGGACAAAATATAAATATCAGAGTAAAGTCAGTGGAGAGGTAAAGAGGCAACCAACACTTGATGGCACAGAATTCCTGGGAAAGAAAGTATATTTCTTATACTTTAGAACTATATAAAAAGGGGAAAAAAGAGATGGTTGGCTCAGCTCTTAGCCTGTGTCATTTGGTAGTTTATTAGAAATTCAGAACCTCAGAGTACAATTTTAGAAACAGATTCATGAATTTACTTTTCAATGCAATTTCATTTATTTTTTTAATTAATTAATTTATTTTTAAATTTTAGTTGTTTTATTATATTTTATTTTGAACCAGGGATTTAACCCAGGGGTGCTTTACCCAGCCCTTCCTTTTTTATTTGTTTTTTTTTGTTTGTTTGTTTGTTTGTTTGAGACAGGGTTTCGGTAAGTTGCTTAGGACTTCAATAAGTTGCTCATTCAGATAAGCATTTCTATTTATTGTGTAGAGTACTAAAATTGAACTCACTAGTTAGATCAAACTTGTGATCCTTTTGCCTCAACCTCCCAAGCTGCTGGGATTACAGGCCTGCACCACTGCAAACCACTCGATGCAATTTTAAATGCCTGGTTAAAATGAATCCCTTTCTCTCGCCATGCACAAAAGTGAATTCAAAATGGATCAAGGAGCTTGATATCAAATCAGAGACGCGCCGTCTGATAGAAGAAAAAGTTGGCTACGATCTACAGTCGGTGGG